TGGTTCCAACTCTTCAATCGTTGCTCCGTCATGCTTGGATCCTTCACCAATCCCATCGGACTGGAAGACCTTGACTGGAAGTTCCTCTTCGTGTACATCGCTTTGCTGTGTTGTGAGATTGTGTTCATCTACTTCTTGTTCCCGGAAACGTACGGAAAAACATTGGAAGAGCTTACTTTCTTGTTTGAAAGTGAAAAGGATGATGCCGATGCGCTCGCTGCAACCACTGCCAAGGTCATGGGTCAGGATAGCAACGCCATCGAGCTTCATGAAGCGCCAGACAAGAAAGCCTAAGTCGCAAGTAAAGTGGTGGCTGGGACTGAGGTCGATGGATCTTGCAAATGACGTTGCATTTGGCGCTCACAAGGCGGGTTTGGAGGCCGCTTGGAAGTGAGCCGCATTCCTTCGAGCGGGTATGAAACGGTCGTGGATGAAAATAGTGGAGATGGAGATGCACAATTTGTGGCTGTTCAGCACAAGTCAGTGTTGCTCGCGGTCGTCTCCGGTAATGAATCATGAATTAGTCCTCCCTTTCTCGTTTAAGATTTTGCATCGCTCAATGTGGCTCGCATTGAATACTTCGGGGTCGTGCAATATTAATGAAGCCATGGCTGACATCAGCTCAACACCTTTGCAATGTTACGTCTGCTCGTTCAACGTTCCCGAGGTCCGATGTAGCATGCGGCGCAGCAACATATCAAACCATACCTTGCATACAACGCCTGAAGAGGCTGGAAATTGCGCGGATCTCCACTTCCATCATAAGTTTGTTTCGACAACACAACGCACCAATGACTCGCTCTTCTATGCGACCATGACACCGATCAAGCGACAGCGGCTACAGAAGACAGATCTCCGACTGATCGGGACCTGTGGGGTATCTTCCGAACGAATGGGAATCTGGCGGCTTTGAAACAACAACAGATGGGCATAAGCTTGGCCAGTGAGGGTACGCAACGATCGCAATGCAGCCTTGATAGCCGCGACCCGGCAGACTGGATTTAGCGTACGCCGGTGTTAGTACACGTGTCAGTACTAGGGAACACCGAATCGCATGTTCAGCCTCAAGCCACCGTAGTATCAAGTCAGTAAGCGAAGTGTTGGATGTAGAGGTAGGGCTAGCTAAGAGGTGTCAGACGGTGGTCCGTCATAACACACCTGACGTGCTTCGGCTACTCCAGAGGATGGCAGATGTCAACTCCTGCTTGACACTGGGAGAAGCCGTCACGTGAAGCTTGCTTCATGCATGCATGCGTTGTTTGCTTTGCACCGAGATGCCAAATGCACGATAGACGCGACGTGGAATATTCGAAAAATAGACGCATGGCTAAATATCTCGCGGCGCTGATAGGTGGCTATTAATAAGTGGGGTTATCGGCCCCGCGCTTAACGATAGCGCGACCCCGCTATCTGAACCCCCAAAACTTTGTCGAAACATCCCGAGGCCGTCGTTCCCACCACCTCCACGACCACCCACGTCGCGCGAGTTCACGCGCTACCTCCGAGGCTGGAAAGCGGCATCGTCATTCGCTCACCGAGCAAAACCAACATGTTTCCCCAGACTCGCGCTCCTTACATTGGCTGCAGCGTCCGATGAGGCTCGAAGCGCTTATACGACTGTGCCTCATTGATGCATCGTCATCGAAACGTGACCTCATGGAGGGGCCAAAAGCTAAGAATACGCCTAGCTGCATATGTTTTAATACCACAGCGGCAACGAGAATACGCTAGCCTAGCCATGCGGCCATCCCAGCGGTTATACACATGCTCTGTACGGCTACACCCACAGCGGTGACCCGGCTTGATAGCTCCCGACGCCCGCGCCGCACGTAGGTGTCGTGGAAACGGCCTTCAGCCGCCTTTCTTGGCACACTTTTCTGGAGGTTGGGTCTGGTCCTTGCGGCTAGCTCGTGCCGTGAATGGTGCGTTTGCTCGGTAATGCACCGGTTTCCAGAACGAAGGCATAGTTTGCATGTACGCCGCAGTAACAGTGCTGTTTGATGTTTCGAGCAGGCTCCAATCATGGAAATGGCTTGTGGAGGCTTATACTGCAGCTCGATGTTGTTATAGTATGGTGATGGACACCGATGGTAAGTACCTGGTATCAGCCTACAGCTTCTCCAGTCTGGCACTGCTCTACTATCTTGTACGAAGCAACATCCTTCCATCGTTCTCCACTGTCTTCGTACCCTAATTCGTACTCATTTATCCTTTTAATGCCTTACCCGATATCCACATCAGGTTACTACCCCAACATGTCTCGTTCTCCTCGCACTCCCATGCGGTCGCCTGCTTTTCCAGACATTCCAATCTATCTGGATACTGGCGATGAGCGCATGACAGCAAAGACGTATGGTACAACACCGACTACGCCGACTACGCCAGACATCATCCCTCCTCAACGCCCGACGCACCTGAGCCCATCACATATCAACGCGCCACCCATCAGCCCGGCCGAGCCGAGCCCCACAACCACTATCGAGACTTCCAGTTGTCGTTCAATCATCTGGCCCATTCCAGAACCACCACCAGAGGTGCAGCATCAGCAGGACTCTCACCGACCCACCCTTCGATTCTTCCCGACCCAACGCCCAAGAGTCCGACTCGACAATGTTCACTCGCTTCAAATACCACAACTCCCACAACTGGATGAGAAAACCCCAATCACTAGTTTTCATCCCGGTCTTGGTATTGTGAACGGACCCTCGAAGCCTCCTTCCATCGAAGTGTCCGCGCCCGTGGAGGACGTCGAAGATCAGCCAAATATCGCAGAAAGAATTGAGAGAAGGTTGTACCAATACAGTATCTCAGGCAACGTCATCAAGAGATGGCTACTGGAATTACTCAGCTGGATTTTCAGTGCCATTTGCATGGCTGCAATCATCGGCGTTCTCATCTACTACAAAGACGATCCTCTCTCGAACTGGACGCTGGCAGATAGGACGGGAGTGACGCTCAACGCATACATCTCCGTGCTTTCTAAGATGGCTGGGGCAGCTTTGATCCTTCCCGTATCCGAAGCTCTGGGTCAGCTGAAGTGGAGTTGGTTTCAGCAGAACTCTAAGCGCATGTGGGACTTCGAAATCTTCGATAACGCATCTCGTGGTCCGTGGGGGTCTATGCTTTTACTTCTGCGCACCAAGGGCAAGGCGTTGGCAGCCCTAGGTGCCATGATCACGCTGTGCATGATGGCCCTTGACCCCTTCTTCCAACAAGTCGTCAACTTCCCCGACCGCTGGGCCTTACAGGATACTCCTAGTAAGATCCCTAGAACCATTCGGTACGACCCTCATGTCGGTGCGGAGTATCAGGACGGATATCAGATGTCTCAAGACGACCCGGATCTGTTTCATGTGGTTGAGAAGTTCTCGTATGGCAATGGCACGCAACCTGTCCCCTTTGGAAATGGGACGCGTCCAGAGATACCTCTGGTAAGTTCACACCTGTCCCATGTTTCTAATACCAGGTGTGATCCAAGGATCACACACTGAGCATTAGACAACACTTGTAGAACGCCGATACTGACACGATGCGCAGTCATGCCCAACCAGCAAATGTACATGGCCCTTATACGAGACGCTAGGCGTTTGCAGCCAATGTGCTGACGTGTCGGAATACCTAACGTACGCTTGCTTGAACACTACAATCGACTGGACTGCGGATACCAAGGGTCTCTTCGACTTGAAAGAGCCATACCCAAACGGAACTATGTGCGGCTACTTTTTAAACGCGACCAGCGAGACGCCCGTCTTGATGTCGGGCTATCTGTTCGATTTCAATGGCTCTGTGAAAGGTGAAGCTCTAGCGATGCGCGCCTTCCCTTTGACTGCTGTTACCACCAAGGAGCCACTCTATGGTGATGGCTCTATCATGTTCAAGCATCATCGCAACACGATTGCGGACGTTCTCCTAGTATCAGCGAGTGAGGGTTCACCGGAGACGGTATACCGTGATATTCGACCGCTTGCACAGGAGTGCGTACTATCTTGGTGCGTCCAGACCATCAAATCGTCGTACGACTACGGCAAATACGAAGAGGAGGTCGTAAGAACGTATTTCAACGACAGTGCTGGAGAATTTCCTTGGCAAAGCGTTTCTTACATTGACGAGACTGGAGAGGAAGCCACCGACATGTTCTATCTGCAAGACATCAACGTCGACAACGGCACGACCCCGGACGGCGGAAAGATATCTGGCTACGGAACCTCGAACAACACAGCGGTATCGATCATTCAAGGGCTCATTGATATCTTTCCCTCTTACACGACAGTAATGCACGAACATGCAGTTCCAGTTATGCGATACAAGACATGGCAATCGGGTTCAGCCTGGAATCGATACCTCGAATACAACCCTTGGCTTCAGCCAAACGTTTCCAAGCACATGGACAGACTTGCTACTGCGATGACGAATGTTATACGATCTGCGCCAAGCAACGAGATGATTACTGGAGAATCCTTTAGTCGAGAAACATACATCTCAGTGCGCTGGGAGTGGCTTACCTTGCCTATTGGTCTCCTGATGATGAGCTTTATTTTTCTAGCTGCTACTATATTCAAGTCTGCACTTGAGAAGGATCAACTGGGCATTCTCAAGAACTCAGCCATTCTAACGCTGCTGTATGGTGTTTCTGACGACATGCGTACCAAGCTCACGCGAGCTTCTGTCACCGGTACTCCAAGAGCGAAGGCAAAAGAGCTCAAAGTCAAGCTCAACCCGAACATGGGGTGGAGAGTATCAGGCAACCTCTTCTCGCCAGTTGCACCGCGACCACCTCAACCACCGCCAGGCTGGATTTGAACCATGGAGGAGAAATCATTGATCGATGATGGAAAATGTATTAAGAAAGCTACAGAGCCGGTCTGGTGGCTTGGGGAATTCCGTCAAGTCCCAGTCCAAGCTGGTCTCGATTTTCGGACGTTTTTACACAGTAAGGAAAAGAAACAGAATATGAATACAACAAGAGTTACTCGAATCGGAAACGTCGCCCCAATGCCGCATCAATGACCGCCAGGGCTGTTGAACTTGATTGGCTCTGCCTCTCTTCGGTGGCCGCCGCCGCTCTTGAACTTGATGGGTTCTGCCTCTCGTCGATGGCCACCACCGCTCTTGAACTTGATGGGTTCTGCCTCTCGTCGATGGCCACCGCCGCTCTTGAACTTGATGGGTTCTGCCTCTCGTCGATGGCCACCACCGCTCTTGAACTTGATAGGCTCTGCCTCTCGTCGATGACCACCGGAGCTACTGAACTTTTGAGGTGCAGCATCTCGGCGAACATCAGGACCAGACCCCTCAAGGCTCTCAGCGATATTGGTCTCGATCACTGGCTCCCTCTTGAAGAGATCCCTGAACAGGTTCACGACGGAAGATTCTGTGCGACGCTCGATCGTTGGTAGTGGACTGATCTATGAAGCATTAGTCGCCGCGTCCAATGTCCATGGGCATGGATGATACTTACGTTGTTGATTGGCGCTGGTACGGGTGCAGCTATGGTGCTTCCCACCATAGCTAAGGCAAGAAGGATGGCGCGTGCGTGCATGGTCGGGGTTGTGGTCTTTGATCGTAGAACCTCGCTTGGTTGCTTGATGGAGAAGAGGTGGATTCTACCGTGATGGAGAAGGCAGAATTGATGCGACCGAGGAAGAGCTTGTGTTTGAAGACGATGTTGGTGTTGTGCCTGGGATACGACCTGAATTATGGGACGCGTCGATGCATTTATCCAAGGACCTGGATGTAAGGCATCGCTTGTGACAACGCGTCACACAACGGATTCATTTCCCCTACCCATCCACGGCGCTTCAACCCGCTGTGGCCTCACGTCAATAACCGCCTCCGAAGCCACCCACACGACACGGTATGCATGGGACAGCGAGATACAAGGTTCGCGGCATGCGCATCTTGTACGATCATTGGGAGAGGGGGGTGTGGGCATGATCGCTGGGTACGAATTCGGCAAGGTGAAACGCAAAGGCCGAGTTATTGGAACACAAGGCGTTAGGCCCAGTGCTTGTGGAGGCCTGCGAACGCGACGCAATGGATCAGGAGGTTTCCGCGGATTTCATCACATTGAGTTATCACGTTCGAAGCGCTCAAAGAGTAGGGCTTTCTACAAGGCGACTGTACAGAGTCGAGATTCTGTAAGTACGGTTCATCACCTGCAATTCCCCTAATTTTCATCAAGTGCAAGAACGAATTCTAACCAATCGAAGGGTTCCGACGGTGTGATGTGGCTTGGCGGCGTTTTGAACCGACCCCGGGAGTCGAAGCGATTGGCCCTGCACGATTGGTACCTTACGCCAATCAACCGTTCCCGCGACCTAGTCACAGACTGTCCGCACACGTGACTCACTCAGCGTTACGCTTTCGTCAGTCTCTTCCGCCGAGATCGATAGATATTCAAGAAGTTTGGCTCGCAACATGAAGTCACATTTTCGACTACTGCTACGGAATTCGGTTCTCCTTTGTATTTTGTGGCGTTATCCTTTTGTCTGACAGCTGAGATGGATTCGCATCTGCCACGTCTTTATGGATTGAGACACAATGTAGATTTACCAGGGTTTCGACAATGTTGACAGCTTTGGCTAGATCTCCCGAAAACTCCCAAGCCAAGTTTGTGATAGACTGACGTTGATCTGTACGAAATTCTTCCGTTGCAACACGACTCTGCATTCGACGTCAAGATAGCCAATGGTCTGAGGTTCGGTGATGGTTGACCAATCGCACGCTACGAGTAAGCGCTCGACTTCCACACTGACGTTATCTCGAAGCCCATCTGCCTTACAGAGATCACCCATGATGCGGCTGCATTTTCACCTTCACTTCCGCCGCGGTGTTGCGAGGGAAACCATGCAACACACACTCGGCGAGCTACTCTCAACCACCATGCGCAAGTAATCACACAGTGTATGCAATGTGATATCAACCACGCCAGGGGCTTCGTCATTTGTGCATCCCGATACCAAGGTTTCTCTGACAGCCTCAATGTACGCGGCCGTCTCGGCGACCACTTCAACTTCCTCATCAGAACGTGGCCAAGCAATGCCGCGTTCATGATGTACGGTCGCCTGGTCTGGTTCCAACCCGTCTTTTGAGTTGACGGTGAGTAAGCGCGTGACACTCATCACTTCCCTGTGTATCCGTTGGTAGTACCAATCGTGGATGTCCGGGTAGGCATGGACGGTACCTGGGTATACGAATGGCAGTACTACCTAGGTACGTTGCCCCTTGGGCTTAGCATCGCCCTGTCGAGTTATGCGCAAAACCCGCATTCTCTCCTACGTCAAAAGACTCATCCGTGTTTGCGTGCGACATGTCTCCATCATCTTATACAGTCAACCTGGGCATGCAGTTCCTCAGCAAAGCTCCAGGGCTGTTCTCGGTCAATGTGCCGCGAATGGATTTCACTTGCAGATGCATATCACTCCATGATTGCTTCTTCGTGCATTATCTTGATGAACCGGGATAGATGCAGTAGCAATAGTCATTCAGAGCCCCTATGTTTCTGCCAGCTGCTCAGGTGCAATGCTGTCTCGCTTCATACCCAAAATCACGTCCAATCTCCATAATATTACCGTGATATTACGCATGAAGAGAGGAGCGCAATAAGAATGAAGTCATCAGCTCACAGAGACACAACTATCACTATGAAGATATGCTTCAATTATACTGCCGAGATGGTACAAATTCTTTCGGGTAGCTTCGACTCCAGGGCTCGCTACTCAAGATCGGGCCGCCGATTGCAGGCCCCACCCTCTCGCCTCGAACAGGCCGCCTTGCGCTCTGCCTAGCGTCCACCCACGATGACAGCTCAACTCCAGCGCTTATCTACTCATTGTGTTTGCCACTCCATGTGGCTCTCAACGGTTTGATACGCAGTAGCGGCGGGAATGCCACGCCTCGGCGCTACCACCATGGCACGATCTCGGCCCCATGATTTGATTGTCCCTTATCGCCGCGAAACCCGCTGTGGGCGCTAAATCTCCCGCTCTGACAGGTCCAACGATGATGCCGAGCGGGTACAGGAGACTCTCCCATCGCCAACCTCAAGTGGCTAAACACCCACATGCAGACCTGGTGATCACCAACTGCTCTACAACCTGAGCCCAGAACTGTGCTGCGCTTTCTACGCGAGCTGCAGAACGTTCGGCGGTTAAGCGCTCGATTGTTGATCGAACTGACCTACAACAGGAAGCTAACAATGATGAACTCTAGCACTGCTTCCAAGGCGTCACCTCTTGACCGCTCATGTGGGCTCCAGATCCCGTCAAAGGAACATTCGCATAATGTCACGACCACGCGGAGGACTCCTACCCCTTACACTCGTGCAACGGCAGCGTCCCTACTCGTCATCTCCGGCTCAAGGGCCCAACGCCTCTCCTCCGCCATCCTATCGAGCTTCTGTCCACGAAAAGCATCGTCTCGACTTCCCAGGGCGCATAGAACGAAAGCTAGCGCAATACAATTCTTCGCAGAATGTCTACAAACGCTGGCTGTTCGAGATCATTAGTGTGGCGACCAGTGCTGTCTGCATGGGTAAGACACCATCGACTTTGCCTGATATGTGCATCTGCTAACTAAAGAGTGCAGGCATAATTATCGGACTACTCTACTTTCTCCACGATCAAGCCCACAACAAATGGCCTGCAGGCCTGACGATAATCACGGTCCTTTCGAAGATCGCCTCGGCAGCACTCATTCTACCTATATCGGAGGCTATCGGGCAGCTGAAATGGACCTGGTTCCACGGGAAGAAGTCCAGAGACGCATTCGACTTCGAGATATTTGACAAAGCATCGCGCGGTGCATGGGGATCGTTCATGCTTCTGTGTCGAACGAAGGGCAAATCACTTGCTGCACTAGGTGCACTGTTGACAGTCCTGCTACTTGCGATTGATACTTTTTTTCAGCAGGTTACCGACCTCGATGAGCGTTGGAGGCTGCAGGGCAACAGCTCAATCCCACGGACCGTACGATATACCCCTTCCGTTGCCCTTACGTACGACAGCACCTGGGCCGACGATCCCATAGCCACGATGAACCAAGACCTTAAGAGGACCCTGGACCCATTTTTTTATGATCAGAATGGCACACGTCCTTTTCTCACCGAGGGTGGTCCTCAGGCTGAGATACCATTAGTGTGTCCAACTAGTAGATGTGAATGGCCGGCCTATCAGTCTCTGGGGGTCTGCAGTGCCTGCGAAGATGTATCATACCTGCTTGAATATGATTGTCTTCCCATGAAGATGGACTGGATTAGAAACTCAACTGGCCCTGGAACGGAGGATACATATCCCAATGGTGAGATGAGCCTTTGATCATCGACTGTCAGTCTTGGCCATACCAAGCAAGGCCGCCGACCAATCTTTGTAGGATGAAGTCGAGTATGGCTAACATTATTGTCGTATAGGTACTGCTTGTGGCTATTTTCTGAACGCGACGAGTTCACTACCTGTCCTTATGTCCGGGTACAGAATCGAGAACAGCACGGATTCCCCTTATGGAGAGACCCTTCTCATGCGCACGCTGCCGCTCGTCACAAACCCTTCGAGGTCACCGCTGTACGGGGGATCCATCAACTTCAAGCACATCAACTACCCTATCATCGATGCGATAATTGTAAGCGCAGCGGATGGCTCCCCCGAGAGCGTCTATCGCAAAGCCCTCCCAGTCGCCCACGAGTGTGTCTTATCGTGGTGTGTCAAGACACTTCGCTCCTCATACGCACGAGGAGGTTACAAAGAGGAGGTTATCGAGACCTTCACCAACACGACACAGATCGAATACCCATGGTGGAGCGAGCGGGTGTCGCTCGACAACACGCTGCTGGGGTTTAACACAGATATCACGATAATTCCACCTACCAACGAAAACCATACGACCACTTATGGCGTCTCAAACGAGACGTTCATGAGAACAATCTTTGTTCTGGACGAAGTGTTTCCTTCCCTGATTACTGTTACCGAGCCATCGGCCGAGCCATATCTGAAGATCAGAACTAGCTTCATTGATCAGGTCATGTTTCGGGAAGTTCGGTTCAATCCATGGCTTGCTCCCAATAACGTCACCTACCATATGGAAAGGATAGCACATGCTTTAACGAATGCTGTCAGGTCTGATGCTGACAGCAATGAGCTCATCGTTGGAAGTGCCTCCTCTCCAGAGACTTATGTGGTTGTTCATTGGGGTTGGCTTACGTTTCCCCTGCTTCTGCTTTGCCTAAGCATCGCGTTCTTGGTGGCAACAATGATCAAGACTTCACAACACACATACGATGACATCGGCAATTGGAAGACTTCGGCCATGCCGACGCTGATATACAGCTTGCCCAAAGACTTTCAACAGGAATTCAAGACACAGGCAATATCGACGCGCACCTTGAATAGAAGGTCGAAGAAGGTCAAGATCAGGCTGATGCCCAAACAAGGCTGGAGAGTCTCTGGTCTAGTTCAGCCCGCGCCGACAGCTCCACCTGGTTTTATATAGCCACAAAGTCTTGCTCGTTATACACATGAACATGATGAAGTTTTCCAAAATGCGCGC